TTCCTGGGGTGCTATCTACGTGGACATAGATGTACAGTATGTTCTCCCACAGTCCAAAAACATACTGGTAGGTTAATTGGCTTCTGGTAAATCTGGTCCTGGTGTGAGTGTGTGTGTCTGTTTGTGTTTCTATCTGCCACGTGATGGACTGGTATCCATAGAGTAAATTGTGCATTCCCGGAATCAGCTCGGGTTCCACCACGACCCTGTATTGGATGTTAGAAACAAACATCACATTTTAACTTCTAATTAAAAAAAAAATAAACAGAATTAAAAAAAAAGTTTGCTAAATTTGCTGTACAAAGGTGCACAGGAACTGTGCTTCAGTAACAAAAGTTGTATCAATTCATTTGATTCACCAGACGAATTTTAGTATTGCTTGCAAACAGACTACAATAACGTTTTTAAACTATATCACCTTTTGTTCTCAATCATGCTCTTGAAATAAGTATACATTGATAAAAAAACATTAATAATTTTAGCTAATCTAAGAAAGAAGAGGATCTTAAATTATCAGCAATGGCAATTTCCTGGCATATTTTAGCAAAGCAGTAAGAAAACATGGAAATAGTAGCTTAGGGTTAAAAATGGTATTAGTAAGAACAAAATCTTCAAACATTTTCATAAGTGATTAAAATAAAATATCTTTATTTGGTGATAAGTTTGTGAAAAGGTCTTAAGTATTATTTACTATTACATACTAAATTATGCAGTATGTTAAACACAGAATCATACCATTCAAGTCAGAAATTCTTATTTGTGCTTTGTGAAAGATTTAGGGAAAAATGTCATTCTCTGTTTACAGTGCACATAAGATTGCCATCCAATGTATTTTTATTAAGCAATTGCATATTATTTCAAAGAAGGTAAAGCAGCCTAAAATGTAAAAACATTGTATTAACATTGAGTAGATTCAATAAATTATTTAGTTGAAGAATGCGGTATTAAATAATAAAAGAATCTGATGCTTGACATAATGAAAAGTACTGTGTTACCAAAGTTGAGTCTCATTAAGGGAGACAGAATTGCCCCCCAGTTGACCGGTGGATATTGGAAGCTACTGCCCACTGAAGCAAGTGGTCCCAGTACCACATTCACCAGTTTGGGATGCAGGTGTTCTGGACCTAGAGAAAGACAGTGATACATGGGAAAATAAGTCAATAAAATTACCAAAAGACAGTCAATCCTCAACAATGCCAACTTAACAGAAGCGAAACACCCCCAGGTGCATTACTTTCTCACTAAAGTACAGAAAGGGGCTTTATAATGCAGTATAAGACTCCTCACATTTGTCTCTCAGGAATAAAATTCATGTTTCGATGTCTTTTTAATGAGAACCTGAGAATATTGTTTACAACATGAAACACAGATACTGTTAGTGGTTTTAATGTTTTGGATAATTAAAATAGAATTTATTGTAAGCTTGACAAGTTGGCAGAATAAGTGATCTGGGTCTCCCAATTTAGCCACTAGAGGGCCCTGAAGCATCTAGAAAAGAACCTTTGATTTTTTTTATGCAGAAATTCACATGATAATGCAGCCAAGAAAAGAAAAAGTGCATTCCAGGTGGAATTAATTACCTGAGGGACACTTAAGAGGTTCAGGGAAAAAAAAAACAGCCTTAGTCTCAGTTATTGCAGACCCAATAAATGGAGGAGACAGAGCAAGAGCCTGCTTACAAGAAGACAATGAACAAAAGCCGGTGGCAGAGTAAAAGATCCACAAGGAGAGTGAAAAGTCTGACTCCATGAGAGTGAACGAACCCAAGATGGATCGAGACTTGTCTCTGAGGAAACAGCATGAAGTCCATCCTCTGACAACACTGATAAAGGAAAACCTGTTAGGCACCCTGGCTTTATCCTGATAGTAACTAGGAGGAGTTCTGGGGTGGCAGGACTGACACGCCCTGTGTCGAACCCACTCGGCCAAAAAACTTTAAGCCATTCTAACAAAGAAGAGATTAGTGTGCCTTACTCAGACCAGGCGCAGAGCATCCAGGCACACTACACAAACTCGGGGTGAATCTGTCATTGATGTATTGTTTCATGTTGACCATTTCATTTTAATTTATCAACACAGTGGCGCACAGTTGTCCTCCAATATAGACTGCTGGGTAATATTTTATTTTAAATGTTAAAATAGATAATATGTATAATAAATATGAATATATATGAAAAGCAATCACCAATTTGGAATCTATATTTTTCTTTTTTATACCACACAAGTTAGAATTTGTCCATATCAACCAGTTAAACTCATGTCTATTACTCTCCATTCTCTGTTAAGTCCATCTCCTCTTTTCATACTATGACCATTTAGAGCTTAAAGACCCTAAAAATACACACAGAACTGAGAAATTAGACAACACTGCAAACTCTGTAGAAGCTGCTCTTCTACAGCATACCAAGATTACTCTGACAGAATCAAAACCAAATCCAACCTTGGTGGGGTTTAGCAAATTATGCACAGCAGCTCAGGAAATTGCTATCCATCGACACAGACTGGATGTGAGCCACCAATGTTGGGAGAATACGGCTGACCTTGTGTTCTGAATGAACACTAATAATAGTTAAGTTATGTGGGAGCCCTGCTCAGACTTTCAAAGTTTTAAAGCTGTTTTACCCCGCACAAGGTAAGATATCATCTTTACTATGAAAAATGTGTGTGGCTGATTCTAGGCTTCAAGGGACCATGCTTTAAAGCGGTAGCCCCATATCATTGGAATACTCTCATGGTGATATTAAAATGCAGCGTCTGTCAAAGTTTTTAAATCTTGCTTTGAAACTTACATCTTGTCAATGGTTTTTAAATTGCATTCTATTTTTTGAAATTTTTCAGATATACAGTGTAATTGTTTTCAACGTATTGTGTTATTAAAAGGTATAATTTATGTAAAGTACCTCAATGCTATTTGAAGGTGCTATTTAAAAATAAAGCTGTCTGAAAGCCCAACAAAGAAGAGTGACATCTTCAAAGATTTATAGCACAAGTTTGCTGAAGACCGTACCTTTTCTTCCTGCTTCAATAAGGTAATCCACAGCCGCTCTGATCACACTCCTTTCAGACAAGTAGCCAAAATCAGGAGGGACTGAAAAAGATTAATATAAGGAGTAAATATGTTTAGAGAAAAAAAAAACAAAGAGACCAGCAACATCTATACCTATTTAGGGAATGTTTTGGTTAACTTTGACAAATTCGGCTTGAGGGTTGCTGCCCGTTGAAAATAAAAAAAATAAGTTGGTGCATAAGACTCGAGACTTCTTTATCATTTGTATCACAATGTAAATTATATTTATTTTCACATATCTAATGGTGTTTGTTGTTTCTATTTTAATTTATTTGAAATATAAGATGGAGATAACTGAACAGGACTGAAACTGATCCCATTTTGAAGTTCAACCTTAATATATTAGATTTATCTTTATGGCATTTTGGTTAAATGTATATTTTTTTCATCAATATATAAGGATCAATGTTTCATTTTTGTTGTTTTGATAGCTCTACTACAAGATTTTTCTTCAATAAAAGTTTCTTGAAAAATTAACAGCGTTTTCTGTTTTCATTGTGATTCATCCATGTTTGTTTCGTAAGCGTCTGGTTGCACAAAAAAGTTTAGATCCACATGAACGGCCCTCCTCCTTGTCTGTGATGGGGGACTCTCCACTGAAATGTAATAGACTCTATCTAAAACTACTGACAGATACAGTATAATCACCAAACATGTGATGAGGCAACATGATTAGTATGTTCACAAGAAACAGCTCAGGACCATCAACATTTTTTTTACTACCATAGCCATCATCACTACAATATTTCATCTTACCTGATGTTCTAGTTTGGCCTAAAGACAGGTTTGCCAGGTGAAGATGTCCCACAAGACAGGAGGCATTTGACTGCAGACCAACAGCACCAGAAAAGGTAATAACCTGTGGAAAAAGTCAGCCCAAAGTTTTGTACTCAAATACTGTATACTGGTTTACTGAGGATCAATTTACTGTGAATTTTTTTATTCCTTATTATCCTTGAAACTCACCTTAATGAAATTAAATCTAGGACTTTTTATTTGCTAAATGAGTAGCACGTTCGTCAGAAATGGAACATTATGCAAGAGTAGACACCAGGATTAAATAAAATTCTATAAACCCATAACATACAGTACTTTGCATTGCACTCTCTATTTAACACATGGTGGTGTTCAATTGATTTAATAGTTTTATTCCCTCAGGCTTTTACATTTAATAGTGTGTGAATATAGATTTAGTCATTAATTAGAAAATTAGTTTATTTTTTGAAGAAGACATATACTGTTATTTGAATTCTGCACATTGTTCTTAACTTGGAATCAACAAGATTGAATAAAGTCTATAAATCAGGAACAGACAGCAATAATAAGGAGGCACAACAAAATTCAGTGCTTAATTGCCACAGTTTGAAGGACAAGTAAAAAGGTTCCAAAAACACATACTATGCAGCTATGTGATCTTTCTTACTGATTGATTAATGATCTATATACCTCATGTAAAAAGTGCAAAAAGTGAAATAACTAGGACTGCTGCCAGCTAAAAAGTATTAATTACAATGAAAAGAAAAGCAATACAATAAACAACAACTCAAAGAAAGCAATTCTGCATGGACATCATTGAACCTTTAAGTACAATCTTACTTGGGTTATTGCTCTGATAACCTCATTCAGTCTGCTTTGCTGCTGAGGGGACTGTCCAGATTCAGATTTGAGCTGCGAGAGAAAACAGAGCACTGACATTTTCTGCAGAGCACAGACTGCATCAGCCTTTTTTTTAAAGTTTCCTTAAACCTGTGCATGTCTCTAGTTGTAAATAATAATAAAAAATATTAACACTGGTATCATCTTTTGCAGAGTACAAAATGCCATGAAGTTAAGTGCCACCTTGTGGTGGAAGCATGGGTGCATTGGTGTCATTTTCCCCCTGAAGTATCAAAAAAGCTGACAAGGTTGGTTTGCAGTTCGGAAAAATGAAAGCTTAAGATATCTGATAATACATATACCATAGTGCAATCTTGATCATATTTCTGCACTAGAAACAAACTTTCACCAAGAAAGCTTTTTGCATTGTGATTTTCATGACTAATAAAAAGGTCTAGCTAAGAGTTCAGATAATCGCATATAAAATAGAGTTATCAACATCATTAAAAAAAATAAATACAGGGTAAAACTTTACAGCTCAATAACTCTTAATGTACTGTATCTTTAAAAAGTCAACCATAAAAAATGAGAAACAGATGAGAACAACAAAACAAAAGCCTTAAAGATTTAAGTGTCACAGATGCAATTAGGAACTTGGTCTGCATGCCAGAAGATTTCTGAAAAGACAAGGTCAATAGCACCATACACTGGTGAAGCATAGACAGTGCATTGATTGAATAGTGCAAAGGTTTTGAAGTTTAAGAAGCCTATTTGCCTCAAGACAATGCTTTAACAAGTGCAATGTTTGATGTGCCCTGAACCTCCTCATTTTGCATGACTGAACTTGACTGAAACTCTGAACAGTTGTGCCCTGCTTGAATTGGCTCTTTGTGTGAAATAAAAAGCTTCATAACAGAGAGCTGTGGAGATTCGCAGTTTCTACTTTTCATGACTACAGAAAGGTTGCCGCTCAGAATGGCCGTGCCCACCGTAAGCTTCTTTCTTAACTGTTTACTTGCCTTTATCAAATTAAACCACCCCAAAGCAAGCTACATTGCAGTTTAGTGCAGAACTGAAAAACACTCTGTGTGAAACCACATTTCAGGCTGTTCGCCATAGGAACTCAGAATTCTGTGAGTTTGCACAACAGTCTCTGATAGCAAAAACAGTTTCGCTCACTGGCTGTAGCTGCCTACTGGGTGTTATGCATTGTTCAATATGTCCTTTTAAATAGAATTAAGATTCACAGGGTACTATATCCCCACATTCTGCAAAGTTTTAAATTGTTACACCAGCCGTTATGCTAAAAAAATACAAATCCTTTTTCTGTTTTTTTTTGGCTATTCCACTTTGACCAATAAAACATACAAGAAATGGACTTTTAATATTTCATAGGTTTAGGGGATATCTGAGGGCATATCTAGCTTACTTTTCAGAATACTTCATTGTTTTGTATGTCACTGAACTGTTTTACATATGATTGAATTTATCACTTGACAAGCTCATCAATGCTACAAGATAAAAGGTCAGCACAGCTGTAAACTCAGAGAAAGAGTCTGCTATCTAACATATTATCATCAGACATCAGAAATTCTGAAATTGGAGGGCCTCCTAAGAGAATTACACAGCTCACAAGGGACAAAATGAAAAATTAAAAATACCGTTAAATCTTTATAATTAACTGTTTCTTTAAATAATGGTTTAAAAAATTAAGAACAACAATATCCTAGGCTCGTAACAAGTGACAGCTTTAAAAAGTACAGCGCAGCATTACTGAATGTTTCTATGGAAATACTTCCTGGCAGTCATCCAAGAGAGCGAGTATTTGCATTTAAATGGAAATATAGGGGAAGAAATGGACTAACAACTGGTGTCCTGTGAGTTTTCTATCCAGCTGAGAGGAGAGGGGCACTGATTGGTATAATTTACGGTACAAAGCCTGAGCTTTACCAGAAAAGGACAGAAGAAAAGCCTTGCAAGCAGTTGTTACTACTTCAGTTTCCGAAGATGTAAGTCATTTCAAAAGAAGGAAACATGTTTATATGTTCTGCATTTAAGCTGTCAAAGTATGCACAATATAATCATTTTAATTAGAACTTGATTATAAGAAACCCATTGGAGTTAGAGAGCTTGCACATCAGAGCTTCACAAAACCAGTCTCTGTCTGCTAAGTAGCCTTACTTCATAATTCAAATAAAAACATTTATAGAAATCCTTTGTCCCCTCTGCAATAAAACTACTCAATGAAGGTATGTAAATATATTCCGCCCTCTACCTATTTATCCAACTATTTATGTATTACATACTGTTGTGATTTTATGTGACTCTTATGTTTTGCTTGTGTGTTCTGTACTTCTGTGGGAGAAGCCAAAGACAAATTTCCACAGCTGTGGACAATAAAGTATCAACCTACTGTAAGTTGTGAATACTGCAGATGGCTAAGCATATCTATGTGTGGGCATAACATAATTGTTATATTATACACAATTCTCCTGGCTTAGCAAGGTGAGTTAGACAAAAGCTTTTGTTTCTCCCAGTGATGGAAAAACAAGTTTCTTCATTTGCCCTTACAAGCTCCATCATTGACAGTACTAAGATATGTTGCATTTCTTCAGCCTCTCAATTTCAGATTTAATTTTATTTAATGCAAGCAGTAAAATGCCAAACACCCAAACCCACACAGTGGATAGTACAGTACAATGGGTAGAGCTCATATCTAACTTTACCACATTGTTCTTGCAATATTTGCAATATTAGCACTATGCTATAAGTGACCATCTACAGACAGAAGTGAGACATTTATGTCTTTTGACTGTTTTTGTGTGGTGTCTCAGAATATCTCCCAAGGGAGGTAAACTGTGCAGACCAGTTATGGTTCTGTAATGTGGATTAATGTATTACAATCTAGGTGAATGAGCTCAAGCTGATCTCTGAACACCGGGAGAGAGATGTATGATTCGCCTGGTCCCTTCTTTATGTTATTTTGGAAATCAACCAGCAAGGGCCTCCTATGCTGGTCCTGGAATATGTTTTACTATTAGTGGGTTTCAATGAAAGCATGATGGATTTACACGGAATATTCTCCATTTAACTGTTAATGGATACATGTGTGTTGCTCCAATCAGTGTGTGTGGTCAAGTGCATTATATTAATCCAGAATACATTATGCATTCAAGTGATTTTTTTTTCAAAATATTATGAAACAAAAAAAAAACTGCCATCTTAAAATGTGGAAACTACACAAGCAAACATTTGCAAGCATTAACTGAAGTAGCCGCACTTATTGATAAAAGTAGGAAATTATGCAGGAAATTCCACAGAACACCACTAATGTTATGACAAGGCCCTCTACAATTAAAAATCAAAGCATTTACTACTTCAATTTCAATAGAAAGTTTTGATGGAAACACACGGTGCTTGCTACCACCACTCTGAGGTGGTGTCCAGAGATTAAAACTCATTGGTGTTCTGTCCAGGGTGTCAGTTTCAGGCCATGGAAGGCTCCCCACATGTCTGTCCCACTGCGCAAGGGCAGACCAAAAGGACCGTAAAGTGATACAGAGCCAGCAATGCCCTCAAAGACAAATAGCACAACAGGAATTCAAATAGACATTAAAAGTTGGCTGTATTCCCATGACATATCTAAAATACTGAATGTAAGCTACTTTAATTGAGTTTGATTGTGGCCCAAATGGAAAGAAACATAAAATTAAACTCTACTTTGTGCTGGTGTAGATACATTAGCTCACTTTCAGTAGTGATGGTGTGGTAATAAGGTCATGCAATATTTATGCACAGTGCATGGCTCTCTGCTTTGCATACACCTGCTCCTGAAGTGAAAGAGATCATCAGCAGTCTACTCTATCAATAACTACTTTTATTATCAAAAGGGGAATGGACAAAGGAGGTGACAGTGTGCACTGGTTAATAGAAACAGAACAATATTTATGCACTAACAAAACTTTACTCATCATATGTGAGTAAAGATGTGCACATACAGAATTAAATACAGTATGTTGTTTCCTAACTTGCAGTGTCAATGTATTGCATGGTATTTCTCTCAAACATTTTCATAATACCATGCTGCAAATATGGACAAATAATGGTCTCTATGCACCAGTTTTTAAGCTTACTTACTCTACTTGGAGTAGAAGATAAAGAACAACCTGGAAACAACGTTTGTCCCATCAAATATATGGTGCTCTGTGACTTATGTTACTACATTTTAAGTATTTCTGGTTATCTACCATTGACTATATACTGAGCCTTCCATTTGTTTGACAACTATTTAAACATCTAGTTTACACATATTGAAAGTCAGTCATCATCATATCTCTATAACATATTGAATACCGTAATTGGATACTGAGAAATACCGTATTACATACATGACTTAGTACATATCTGCGACGTTTCCTTTTATTGTTTAAATTGCTTAACTTTAGTTCAAGTTTATTGTCATTATACTCATATACAGGTATATGGTATAACGAAATGCTATTTAGCTAGCTCTCGGACATAAGTAGTACAAAGAAAACAACAACAACAACACAACTGTATAACAAAAGAAAGACAGAGACAACAGGCGATGTGCAAAAAAAACAACAACAGGCAATGTGCAAAAACAACAACAGGCAATGTGCAAAACAACAAAAAGGTAACAGGTTATGTACAAAAACAAGCATCAACAGAATGAAATAAGGGATAGAAATTATGGGGAGTGAGCTTTTGACGTGTATGGTAGAGGTAGATTTTCAATGTGTGTTTGGGTTTTTGGTAAGAAAGAAAGGAAGAAGGCACTGTGAGGTTCAGATCATAGGTGAGAGGTGAGGTGAGAGTGAGAGAGGCTGGGAGTTGAATAGTTTGATAGTGCGGGGGTAAAAACTGTCTCTGAGTCTGGTAGTCTGGGCCCAAATGCTCCGGTACCGTTTTCCAGATGGTAGCAGATCATAAAGTCTGTAGCTGGGGTGTGTGGGGTCTTTGATGGTGTGTGGGAACTACAACATCAACTACAACTACATCAACTTTATCAACTACAACTGATGAATAATGATGTGTTATACTGTTCCTATATCAAAATAAAGAGAATGAAAAGCAATGTAGTGAAAGTAAAACTCTGGTAGCTGAACAAACAGCTTTACTCAGAACAGTCAGAAGAATAATCTTGGCACCAGAATTACAGTCAAAGCTTCTGTCTACGAATCTAGTCAGGAAGCAAAAATATGTTTTACTGAAACTAAAAAACTCCCGCAGTTTTGAAGAATGTAATAAACAACAAAGTGTGAAAGGGCAATCAAAAAATCAAGGACCTTATCTTCAATACATGTGTATTGAAAGGAATAAAAGAAACCTTGTGTTTATGATTTCTGTATACAAACCCAGATACAGTAGTTAGGTTGACACTTACCTGAATTAGGGAACTTTCAGAGCCTACTAGTGCCACCAAACCATTTACAGCTGCCAGACGCTGCATTGTGGGACAACCCTGAAAGCAATGAAACCACACCGGTCAAATTTAACTAAGAACAGAGTTGATGATGATCTTAATTTTTTCCCAGTTGATCTTTTTCAGGGTCCTTGATAAGTAGACTATCGGGATAAATTAATTCCTCAGCTGGGAGTAATTGTTAAGCTTCTGATTAAATACATAACAGCCAAAACAATCACTGTGCTTGCTTTGAATGAGAATGAACATCATATACAGTACATTGGATTTTTGCAGGGTTGACTACTAAAGAAAAAGTTACCTCTGTAAGAAGTATTTTTATCCAAGCACCCAGAAGTCTGAAATAGAAGTCCTCTGCTTTACCGTGACCACAGGCAGACAGGCCATGAACAGTAATACCTAAAGACAAGGCAAACCCTGGCGTCTGAAAGACAAATTGAATGCTACTTAAAGACTCAAGTACAATATAACCCGCCTCAGACATCAACAATTATAAACAGGGCATAGGAAAAGAAAAGGGCTTGGGCAAAACATTTAAAAATATTTTTTATGTGGGGACCACATGATACATTTCAGATAATACTTTCAGATTTGGAGTACTCTGTTTCTTTGGAGCACAAACATAAACCAAAAATATAAGCAGATATAATTGCCAAAACTTCTATTTACCTATATTTCATCTTCAATATTTATAGTATTTAACAAATTTCAATAAAGAGTTAGGTTTAATAGATAATATAAAGTACTACTGGAAATCTTATTTTTCCTCTCCTCGAAGTTTTTTTGCTTATCATGAACAGAATTATGTTATGAAAAGAGAGAAGCTATGTACTACTATAATTTAAGCATGCACAATGGAAATCTGGCCACTTATTTTAATCCAGTTTGAGATCCAATTGTGGAAACTCAGATTGCTCAGAAGCAAAAGAGCTTTGGATTTCAGTTGTATCAAATATTAAGACAGTAATCTACCAGGACTATAAAAATACAGATCCTATAGAATTTACACAACATAACATTTAATTTAAGTGTTTAAAATCCTTTACAATGGATTACACATTAATCTTCCTCGTAACATTGTTATTTATGAAATGCAACAATCAAAGTAAAGCAGCAGTAACATAACTTATTCAGTTTGTCTCAGGTTGGTATGGTTGTGCAAATGTATGTAATTTGGTTGACAACTTTTATATGAAAAATTCTAACAAAACATTGTGTAGAATACAAACTTAATAAATGACCATAGCATTAGTATACATGTAATACATAAATATTGTACTGTACATGGGGTTACATTGTTCAAATCGAATATTCTCAGGCAAGTCTGGGCAATTTCAGACTTCATGTGACACATGATTATACTGTATACGGATTGTAATGAACGATTATATGAGCTAAAATTGCTATTGACTTCCGAGGTTAACAAGCGCATGAGATTTGAATAGAAGAACAATAAAGGTTAATTGTGTCATTTCAATGCCATGCTTGTCAAAAAAATGAGAGGAATCAAGTTCTAGGACACCAACAGACCAGATGCTTGGATCTGAATTTGACAAGAGTTCTCATGGTACTTGGATCAACTGTTGACTGTCTTAGAAGAGACTGACTAGCAACACATACCATACAGCTGAATGTTACATTTGCCCAGGACCTCTTTATCAGAAAATTGTTTCTTCACAATCACTTCCAAAAAGCTCAACTAACTGCAGAAACACTTTTTGAATATTGGGACCATTGCTCCACTAAGGCATTTATGTGAAATATGAATGGCAATGTGACTTTTTTGTCCTTCCTTGGACAACAGGCCCCAACAGGAAAGGTGACATTTGAAATGAAATGTGAATGAAACTACTCAAAAATGACTGAGCATCACGGTATCAAGAAAGACAAATTATAAGAACGTATCAGTGATATGTTTAAGGCTTCATTTTCTGAAGACATATTATGTCAAATTAAAAATATCTAACCCAAATATTTCCACTGGGTAACCTGCCCACCCCTTCATTAATGAGTTAGATACACAGTTGTCCCACAGGAGAAAATAAGGTCAATTTCAAGAATTAACGCACCTGTTGGCTTTTCTCCGTCATGAGTCGGAGATTGTTCATGATTTCCTCAGCCTTGTTGGCGTCAATGATACCAGTACTGAATGCAGACACACAGACACAGGCCACTGAATATGCTAAAA